TGAGCCCAGGAGTTGGAGGTTGCTGTGAGCTGTGATGCCAGAGCACTCTACCCAGGGGGATAGCTTGAGGCTCTGTCTCAAAAAAAAAAAAAAAAAAAATTAAAAATTAAAATTAGCTGGCTTAGGTGGAACAAGCCTGTAATATAGTTCAGAGGCTAAAGAGTGAGATCCCTTGAGCCAATGAGTTAAAGGCTGTTAAGTAAGCTATAACTGCACCACTGTACTCCAGCCTGGGCAAAACCAAGAGTCTGTCCCAGAAACAAACATCCTCCTACCTCCAACACCCCAATAAATGGTTTGTGTGCATTTCAATCAGCATGTTTCTTATCAACTAGGAGTTTTGGAGAACCACCTTGTAACTTTTAGATTTATGATTTCATTTTATGAAAACAGCTCATCGAGAATTTACTAAATAGTTAGTAGAATGTACCCATGGCCTAACTACCCTCTTTAGTGTGACCTGAAATTACATTTAGAATGTTCAATTTTCAGCCCATGTGTGATGCTAATATACAGCTAAAGTAGAATCTGAATTTTTTTTTTTTATTGTTGGGGAATCACTGAAGGTACAAAGAACCAGGTTATACTGCTTGTATTTGTTAGGTAAAGTCCCTCTTATACTTGTGTCCTGCCCTCAAGAGGTATGTCACACCCGTGACCCTCCACCTCTCTCTTTCCCCCATTTTTCCCCCACCACGTACTGGCATCCATTATCCACATATCAAAATTGAGTACACTGGATTCTTGCTTCTCCATTCTTGGTGATGTTTTACTGAGAAGAATGTGTTTCATCTCCAGGTTAATACAAAAGATGTAAAGTAATCATCTTTTTTAGTGGCTGAATAGTATTCCATGGTATACATATACCACAGTTTGTTAATCCATTCCTGGGCTCAACACCTGTGGCTCAAGCAGCTAAGGCGCCAGCTGGCAGGTTTGAATCCAGCCCAGGCCTGCCAAACAATGACAGCTGCAACCAAAAAATAGCCCGGTGTTGTAGCGGGTGCCTGTAGTCCCAACTACTTGGGAGGTAGAGGCAGGAGAATCACTTGAGCCCAGGAGTTGGAGGTTGCTGTGAGCTGTGATGCCATAGCACTCTACAAAGGGCAACAGCTTGAGGCTCTGTCTCAAAAAAAAAAAAAAACCCATTCATTTAGGTTGCTTAGAATAGGAAATTCTTTTTTTTTTAATGAGACAGAGCCTTAAGCTGTCACCCTGGATGGAGTGTGGTGGTGTCATTGCTCACAGTAACCTCCAACTTGGGCTCAAGCGATCTTCTGGCCTCAGTTTTCCTATTTTTAGTTAGAAATGGGGTCTTGCTTTTGGCTCAGGCTGGTCTCAAACAATTCACCTGCCTTGGCCTTCCAGAGTGCTAGGATTGCAAGGTGTGAATCATCACACCTGGCCAGAATCTGAAATTCTTAACTAATGGGGGAGGGTCAGGACATGGGAAAATAAACTGTCTCTGACCCCCCCAGCACTGGTATGCAACTTTATTTATTTATTTATTTTTGAGACAGAGCCTCAAGCTGTCCCCCTGGGTAGAGTGCCGTGGCATTACAGCTCACAGCAACCTCCAACTCCTGGGCTC